ATTATTCTCTCATCTTAGACAGCCTGAGACAAAGAGGTGTTGAATAGGAAGTGCAAAAACAATGGCTGGGGTTATTAGCAGAAGAAGGAAGAAAAGTCCAGAGGTAAAGATGAGGAAACAAGATGCGTGGCTCATCTGGCTGAAATGATATAAAAACGTATTACGAGCATCAAGCTCATGTGTTGCACATTTTTTACTACTTTTTCCTGGCTCTGGCCACTCTGCGAAACCCCACAAGTTGCCTCAACCCGAAGCTTACACACTGGACTGCTCCCCCCGCTCTTTTAATATTGCTTTTATCTGACTCACACACACAAAGTCTTTAACCTGCCATCATCTTAACCTCATCTTCTCAACACTAACACACTTTTCCAGCACGTTTCTAAAACACATCGCTTATAGATCATGAAACAGTCAATCGGAAGAGACAAAGGAAACCTCTGGATGATGTCATGTGGTACGCTCGCCGTTCCAAGACTGAAATCAGTGGGGAGAGACCTCCTCATTCTTTCCAGAATATGACCCAAGGTTTTTGGCTCCTCTAACTGAATCTACTGTTCCAGCCTTGCTTTCATTCCTGAGCACTCTCTTCAGTTTTCTTGACATCCGAAACCTCAAATTTCCTAAACGAGTCCAAAGGTCGATTACTGATCAAGCATATAGCCTACGGGTTCGCAAAGATCTTGAATGGAGGCCAGACGAGAACTGCAGCATCTGCACAGCTCCACATCGGCCAGGTTCAGGTTACCCCGACAATCAACTCCAGGTGAGGTCAAGTGGTCCGCTTGCGTTCCCCCTTGGAGTAAAAGCGGTTACTCCTCAGAATTCTACTGAGGACCCGGTAATGGGCGGTAAAATTATCCCAGGTTTTCTTAGGCACGCGCACTCAGAAACAAGTGAGCAGAGCAATCAGCGGACGCATTTTCTAAATGGACTCTAACAGACCACTTTCAAACAAGAACAGCAAACTTTAGGCCTCAATCTTCACCCCGCGGCTACAAAATACTTCTAAATACTCAACGCTGCACCTTCATAAAGGCAAAAGCACCAATTGGCAGCTTTTATAGAGCCTAAATACTTAATTTGCAATGCCCTCCACCAGCATTGAACCTTTTCACAATTTGCCAGGCTACTACCAATTCATTTTAGTGCCATTCTAAGTGACAAGTAAATTACAAAACCAATAGCTGTTCTAAGAAGGCCTCGGAGGTTTGTTAGAGAACATTACAGAGAACAAACATCATCAGTTAGACCAAATAACACACCAGACAGGTCAGGGGTAAAATAGTGAAGAAGTCTAAAGCAGAGTTATGACATGGCGGTGATGGGAAGCGTGGTCTTCGTTCAGCTATCAATAGTCAATAGTTTGCCTCAAAGTATTTTGAGGCCAATTCTGTTCCAGATACGACTGTGTGTTTAGGGTTACGGTCTTGTTGGAAGGTCAACTTCTATCCTAGTTTTATGTCCATCAATCCTGGCCAGCACATCCATGCTCAGGAAATACATCACCACACCATGATTCTGCCACTACCTTGTGTCACCATACGGATTCTGTGTTCATTCATAAGTTTTACATGCAGCCTTTTATACAGAAATGAAAAAGTTATCCTTATATGTTGTGTCCACCCAACATGACTTGCAAAAAACAGCAAATCTCACTTTCTTATAAAGGTTCAAATTTGCATTGATAAGATTCTCCCACCTGAGCTGTAAAGCTCTGCTGCTCCTCCCGAGCTGCCATCATGTCAGCCTATCTGTCCCATAAAATCCCAGCAAAACACATTCAGGTTTTCGGTTGCAGTGTGAAATAACAGCCTGCTCCCGTAAACACTTTAACACCGATTTAATCATCTTCCACTGGCACTGTCACAAGCGCAGCATTCTTATGTAAGATGCTGAAAAAAAAACACAAAAAAAAACAGAGAACATACAGTGCTTGCAGCAGATAGACGGTCTTTCTGTTGCCACAATAACCTTGTTAGAGACCAAACCACAAACCACCTCAGCGTAAAAGTGCTACTTATCCCCTGACTGCTGTATATCAGAAAAAAGCACAGGCTGCAGTAAAAACCTTGACAAGCGGTTAAATCATGTCGTTCACTGTTACTCAACGGTGTGACAGAGAAGACTTTAACTCCTCTCCCCTCTTTGATTTTTATGGTTGACACAATATTTGAAACAGAGCAAAAAAATATTCTTTCTTTTTTTTATCTGAGGAAACTAACGTTTAATTTGATTTATACTATAAAATCAAAACCATTTGTATGTCAGAGGCTTCATACTCTGCCAATAGTCTACATGGTATCAGACTAAACTACAAAGAGGGAATTGGAGTAATGGGAAAAAAAGCCAGAGCGGCCTGAGGACAATTTGGAAACTATGTGGCATATTTTCCAGTTTCTGAACGCACTGGAGCCTGTCCTGTCTCCCGACTGGCAGACACACAGCAGGAGTCCTTTAAACATCTCTCCCAAACTATCTGCCGGCTCCCACAGTCGCTGCTGAGCTGTTACCGCAGCGCTGGCTGTTGGCTGGCTGAGATTACACTCTGTTTCTGTGCAACTTCGATTTTGAGTCAAAAATGCCATTATTTGGCAAAGACTAAAACAAAGCAAAAGTTAATAAAACACACAAAAAAAGGAGGAAAATTGCTACTGAATAACCATAGCCAATTCAAGTGGACAGCAATTGTATCTGAACTGATGCCTCATTAGTCCTAAAAGTTCAAAAAGTATTTGTGTAATGTAAAGATTGTGCTTCCTGTTTCACCCGGAGTCCATATTGTTCCATGAAAACAATTGGCAAAACTATGTTTATCAAACATCAAGAAGACGAAACAAGGCTAGACAGAAAGTTGCGGAGAAGTTTAAAGCATAATTAGATAGTAACATTATCTCCCAATCATTAATCATCTCACAGGTTAATCCAATATTTAAAAGTATGGACAAGGAAACCATTAATCAAAAAGCCCATGGTGACTCCAGAGGAGCTCCACCTCATGTGGAGGACTGTGTATTCCACAGTTGTGTCCCATGTGGAAGAGGCAACAACTAAAGTAAACTGAAAAGTAAAAAAGTTTTTCCAAAACTGTCACTGTCACTCGACTGAAATGAGAAACACTGCTGGTATCAGGAAACTGCACCATCCCCACAGAGAGACATGCTTGTGACAGCCTCATGCAAGCAGATTGCTTTTCTCTAGCAGAGGCAGGGAAGCTAGTGACAAGGTAGAGAAATTATCATTTTGGCAGGGTGTGAGTGCTTGTAGGGACAGTGTTAATGGAGTTAATAGAAATATGGATGGAGCTAAATAAAACACAATCCTGCAGGAAAACATGCTTTGCCTCACTTCCACTGAGGAGTACGGTCCGTTCTGGTGATGTTCCTTACTCTATCTTAAGGTCTGGTGTATTCACGAAAGCGTTTCCACTGGTGGTTAGATCCCCAAACCCAAATGCCTAATGTAGCGTCATGCTAATGTGACAATAAACGTGTTTTATACATTTATCATATAAAACACGATTTGTGTTTTATACGATTGTTGTGAGCCGCGGTGATGTTTTCTTCCTGTCCCTCAAATCAATGGACAGTGTTGCGTGACTCCATTAGCTCCACCGGACCTACAACAGTAGAAGGCCCAGAAATGGTGCGGTACAGGTCAGCTGTGTGGGCTGCTTTTACAATGGAGAAAGACAATGAGGGTAAAGCTCGACACTGAGGCAAGGTTTCACCTTCTGCCAGGATAACGGCCCAAAACATAGAACCAGAGAAACAATGGAATGCCTTCGGTCAAAGCACAGAGTGTTCGAATTATCTAGTTGACCTAAAGTTGGACGCTAACGGACACTCTCCGCCGGCTCTACATCAGACTGAAATTCCATGGCAGAGCTTTGAATAACAGAAAAGACATTTTGACTTTGGTTTTACATCCCACTATACATCAGTGCCGTAGACTGGCGGATGAACTCCAGGGACTGTAGAGGGAGGTGATGTCATAGTGCTTCGGTTCTATCTGCAGTAGCTGAGCAGCAGTGAGGTTAAAGGTCAGCTGGCTCACCATCAGTCACATCAATCTGTTTCTGTTGGTAATTATTATCGAGGGCCTGAACTTCGTGGACTAATCCCTCTTTAGACAAACGCAACTCTGAAGGGACAAAGACAACACTTGTACTCGCTGTATTTTTGCTGCGCGAGTCCGTCCCTCACAGAGGTCACGCTAAAGTACCCAGCACAAAAGCTGGTTATAGAAAGTATTCAACTCACATAATGTTACATCAGTGTCAACATAATCGCCAAAAGACTTCCTGTCCACCAGTCAGAATACAATAAATCAGACAATATTCTGTTTATTGACTCTATGTGAGCAAAAGGAGCTTTAAAGAATCAGAAGCGTGTTTCTGCATGTGAAAAAACTCTGACAGAAATGCTGCAGCTTGTCAAGACGGGAAAACTCCAGCAGATAGCTAACAGAGTGCGATAAGCGACAGGGACATCCAACCAGCACGTTTTGGGAACGGAGCAGAATTACGGGAATCAGAGCTCATTTGTGGACAGTGTGGAACATCAGGCAGCCTAAAATTAAGTGTGATTTGTGATTCTGAGCGCCTGAGTATGAGTGGGTGGCAGAGGTCGGTTGGGTTCTGCGGGCCAAATCTGCACATCTTCAAGAGGATGTGGCCGCCACCACAATCCCTTATTTTATGCTGCATGTAAAGAGGGATGGGCACTGGGGTTGACCACTGTTCAAACCGCAGCCGCAAATGTCTATATGGACGTTAAAATGGACATCATGCTTCGCTTTTATCTGATTTACTAAAAGACGTCAAATCAAAGCACAACTAAAGTTTCAGTGACGTACATAAAGAACACTCCACTTATAGCCATGCTTCACCAAACAATACAGCCATTCTTCCCCTTACACATTTTTTGTTTTCTGGTCTCACAAATTTATAAATACATTCACTATATAGAGTGGGAAATGAGAGACGACGTATGGCCTACCTCGAAGACTTCTTCATCAAGTATTCTAGTTCCAAACACTATAATTCCTTTGGTATCAATGATGGGGTTGGGGCTTCGAAGCAGCTTCTGGTTGATCTTCTTTTTACAGTCCAGAATGAGGGTGATGGTCTGTTGGTGCACGCTGATTGCCACTCTATGCCACCTGGCAACAAGAGGTGGTGTTAGTTCACACACTTACAGGATAAACCAATGGCGAGGCCCTGAGAGGCCTGTACTGCTTTGAAATTCAAAGGTATGCAGTTATGTTGGCTCAGATGGATACAAGTCATTATGATATATATAAAAAAAATCCAACAAATGCAGAAAATTAAAAATAAAAGGCTGCCATATCTACAGATTGCATACAAATTCAGCTAAAAAATGGGAGTGAATCGAGTCCAATACTAGTATCACAACAGAAAATGACTAAATTCTATCTATCAGATTACCTGATGTAACCATCATATATTTTCGCTGCTGTACACAAAATCTTACACTTCAACCTTATTGAGCTGCTGTTCTTTGCTTCCATTCATAAATAATTTGTGACTGTTCACAGTATTAAGGCTTACTAAGCTGCAGTTGGTGAGGCTAACTAGGCTAACAATGCTAACCGCTAACAGAACTTGTTGAAAGAGGTTTTAAACAATTTTTTCAACAAACACAAAAGTTATTTCCCTTCAGCTCATGAATGATTAATGTCCGAAAGGCTTAATAAGATGAAAAAATTGTGACCGGTCACAGCAGATAGGCTTATTAAAATGCAGTTAGTGAAGCTAACAGGGCTAACAATGCTAAAACGTTGCTAAAACCGCTCTAAAAAAAGCTTTTCAACAAACACAGAAGTTATTTCACCTCAACTTGTGAATAACTAATGTCTGAAATATTTTCTAAGTCACACTGAAACATGGTCATTATGTTGATTATTGTAGGAACTTTCCATATCACTTTACTGACATTTCACATTGTAGAATGTTGCTAAAACATTTTTGCTCAGTTTTAGCAAAAAAAAAAAAAAAATTACACATGAAAGTATCATTCTGATGCTTAGGTATGTTATTTTCAATCTTGTGAATGTAAATGCAAATGATTTAAGTATCATTTGCATTTACAGTCACAAGTAAATGCAAATGATTTAAGTATCATTTGCATTTACAGTCACAAGAAATAATCTCTAATAATGATAAAAGATAACCCCACATTTGTTGACTGATGCACCTACTTTCCGTCAGCCAGGTTGACTCCTCTGAAGAGCGGGTAGTCCTCTGGGCTGGGTTTGCCTGTTTGGTCCTCGTAGAGGAATACGGGGGATCGGCCCACTTCCAGTCCGAGCTGCTGGATGCCCTGCTCATTGTACACTGACAGCAGGAAGGACTGGCTGCCCTTCTTGGGTTTTACTGTGGCCAAGATGGAGAAATCCTCAGGGAAGGCATCACCTGACAGAACGGGCAGCGAGTTGGACACAAACAGAGACGAGTCAGAGAGTTACGAGCAGCAGGAGCGATTCATCGTCGTGAGAGGAATGCAATACACCGTCTGGCTTGAAAAGTCATTGTAGTATCGTGTCAGTAGACAGATTTATTGTCATGAGGACAAATAATATTGTTATTGTCACTTAAACAAACGGGGATTGGTTGAAACTGAGAAACTATTAAGGTGGGCTTTGTGCAGCAAAAGGAAACAAGTGCGATGTGAAGAGTGCCAAGAGTGCAACCGGATAGGATTAATCTGAGAGTGGTGGCTGGCAGAACAGAGTCTGTTCAGAGAGGGTTGGGGGAAAAGTGCAAGGTTAGAAAGAGAAATACAAAGTGGATCACTTCCAGTACAGCGCAGCGTGAAGAGCGCTAATGACAAAAACATCTGGTCCTGAGAGACTTTGTGAAGCCATCCCTCAAACTCCTCCTCCCCACTTTTTCCCTCCCGTCCCCAAGCTGATGCATCCAGCAGACACGGAGACCCCAAATTATTACAGGAGAGATTCTTAATGACACATTTATTTGGAAATGGAAATACCAACAGCCTATTGGTATGCGATCGCATGAAAGATATGAAAGCAATCTGTTAGCCTCCATCTGCATAGTTCCACTGTGGAGGCTCAACTATTTCCGCAATTCTGCCAAAGTATGGGGCCCACATCTGCCAGACAAATTCTCTCCTAGTAGGGTGCACTCAGGACCGCATGAAAAAACCCTTCAGAAGAGAGAACTGCTTCAACTATGTGGCTTTGTGCTGAAAGACTTCTGATCTTTTAGTTTGAAAAAGATTAAAGTGAAGTGTTGACATGGCCGTTGCCCAGTTGCCATCTCGTCATATGACTTCATCTAGTCATAAAAGTTTAAGTCTTATTTTTTATACCTTGCCACTGTTTAAGACTCTTGTTTGAAGTAGGAAAGGAAGCAGCTCATGAGTTGTGTGTGTTGACATAGTAGAAAGAAAGAGTAATTCACTATAAAAGAATTGGATGCACGCTGCACAGTTTTTAACCAGCTGGTTGGGTTCTGAAGAAACACAACTAAACAACTAATAGTGTAACTAATTAAGTTAAAGCGCAATTTACCTGCTTTTTAACAATTATAAACATTTTTGATCCTCTGCACTTAGACTGATTAAGCCTGAACTGAATCTATAAAACACATTTTAACCTTTATTATAATTGTAAAAACACAAATGAGGATTTTTTTTTTTTGGCATTCGAATAGCTTTGGAATTACTCAAGCATAAAAAAAAAAAAAACACCAGTTAAATTTACCAATTAAACCACAACTGGATTGTTCATTTCTGAGTTCTGAGAGCTGTAATTTTGAAAACCAAAAAATTGTGGATTTTTAGCAACAATCTAGTATTGTGCATTGGCTGTGCTACATTGCTACAAATTCCAGATGCTTCTTATTTAAAAAAAAAAAAAAAAAAAAAAAGATTAAAGTGATAACTGTTATGTTTAACATAAGCAAAGAGGGCACTCAATCTCTACTAGCAATCTCTCTTGCGGTTTTCCAGGCAAGCAGAACAGAGAGGCTGGGTTTAGGGAAAAGATGTTATTGTAGCACCATCAAAGACTCTTATAAAGCCATCAGTTACAGGCTGGGGACAGGCTTGAAGAATGTTAAAGTGATAGTTATGCACAGTGGAAGAAAAGGTGCCACAGGAAGAGCAGGGTGTGGAAAGCCCAGCTTAGGCTGAGAAAGAGAAGAAAAGCTCCGAGAGCCAAATTTGTACCGGTCACCCTTCGTGCTTCGTTCCTTATCTCTATCATCTCCCTCATTTTGTCAGCAGCTGGATGTCTGTCTGCCTTCCTGCCTCTTTCCCGTCGTCTCTGTATTAACACTAAGCATCAGATCGCATCATGAGGACAGCACATGCCTTGGCAGCGTCCTCGCTCAGGAATTCTGCTTGGAATCACATGAGAACCGCTGCTGTAATTGACAGACGTTGAACCGCGATGAGAAAGACGGAGCTTTAAAAGAGGAAGACGAGGATGAGACAAAAAGATCTCAAACAAAGTGAAGGGGATGCTTGTCACAGCTAAGCCCTGGGAGGTGAAAAAAAAGGCTTTGCTCAGCAGGTTAAAGTTTAGATCAAACCCGCAGTGCTTCTCCCACAATTGCTGCTACGCACTGCCAGTCAGCTGGCTTGAAGATGGTTTTTCTCAAAGTTACAGAGAACAGCTGTTTGGTTGTTTAGATTTAAGATTATGGTATGGGAATCTCTTTTATTTAAGATGACGCTGTTTCAAGCCCAGAGTTTAAAAAAGAGACAAAAAGTAAATTGCAACAAAAACCAAACGTTCTCATTTGGACTCGTGTGAAAATTGAGAGTGTTTTGTACTAATGCCTCATCCTGTCATTTTTTTAAGTACCCCATGCCCTGAAACAACCTCCAACGGGATCAAGACAGTCCAGAAGCACAAAAAACTAAAACTGCAGAATAAAAGAACCACTGTCCTTATACGAAACTTTTTACCAGACACAGATGGAAAAATATTTTTAAAAGCTGAGTTTTTTTTTTTTTATCTTTCTGGAATTTGACTATTTAAGCTACTGCATTGGAGATTGCTCCCTTCTCATTTCATGTGTGTGTTTTATGTGTGCTCAGTGTGTGCTGACATGCAGTAGTACAGTGCCAGATGTCCACAGAGTTTACACTGGCACCACCGTTGCCCATTCCAGGCCAGAAAAAAATTAAGAAAAGGCAGAAACCCAGGAAGAGGCACTCACATGGGAGCAATTTGATATTTTCTCTGCGATGGAATAACCAAATTAATTTTCTTGCTAAAACTAAGTGCAATATCTTGGACTTAATGCAGCAAGAATATCTCGTGGTGTGTCTCCTTAAGAGTTGTACCATCAACCCGTGTGTATAAAGGCAGGTAAATGAGGTAGACCTGCATCCTGTAATTTGATTATTCAGTCTCACTTGTGAACAAATCTGTTTTTATGTAAGACACATCAGCTTTCCAGCAACCCCCGACTCTGGAGCAGAGACTTTGAATTGTAAGCACTCTGAAAGGGAATACCGACTCACCTAATTTTACACAAATTGATAATTTAATCAGTTAAAACAACCTGAGCCAAAGTTTATCTTGACAGCAAGCATAGTGAGGAGGAGGAGGATGAGTAAGGTAAACAAAACTGAAATCACACTGTCAGAGAACTACAGCGATCAGAAGCACCCGGGGATCGTTCTCAAGGTGTGCCAATACCTGAGATTGGCACACGTTTTGTTTTACACTACTGTAGCTAACTGTAGTGGAAAAAATCCCACATTATCAAATCATCCAAATATCCTGTTTGAGCTAGAAGTCAACTGACTGACGTTTTGTATTATAATTAGTTTTAGACTGCATGAAAATGAACCTGAAGCTCACAAAAGAACTGAACTGTGTTTTAAAGGACGCTTCCCACGACAACGTGGCCTAAACTAAGCGCAAAATAGAGAGCTCCTTACCTCATAGGCAAACATGAAAGTCATTATTTCTATTTCAACATCATAGTTTTATTGAAAATGCAGCATCTGGCTACATCTTCTCTTTTGGCAATGAAAGAACCCACTTGCAGTTTCTTAATAATCCCATTAGCACCACATCTTAATGTCCTCCTAAGACCTTTTCCTGCATTATACATAAAGGATAATCAGTTATATGTCTGCCATAGTGAGTCTGAATAGTAATTGTATAATAATTAGCTGCAGCTGCAACAGATCTTTGCAGTATTGAGGTTGCGGCAATTGATATTATGATAACAAAAAGTTTTAGGAATATCTATGTCATTACTCCTACAATGATCAGTAACTTATATTTCCTGATAGTGTATATATATTTCAAACCTTTCGATAACAAATGTCATGCTACACCCAAAATCCGGTGTAGCACAACTATCACTGTCCAAAACCTTCCACTACCCTACACTACAATAAAACACATTGTGCTTCCCCAATGATTTAAATCAAATACTGCGCAGTCTTACTCAAGATATAAACTATAAATAAGCAGTTCTGAACTGATCTGGTTACGAGCCTTAGCTTTACAATTTACTATTTTGTCCCAAAATATCCATTTAATGGATACCAGCAGCATCACGTTATGATTCCTAACAATTCGATGACTCAATCCTACTGTTTTCGGTCCTAATTTATGATTTATGGGACTATCTTTCAAAAATAGTTCAGACCAAATCTGAACATGCTAAATTACCCTTCATTTGATTCAAAGAAAAGGAAAAGCAGCTGTTCGTTGGCTGTCATCCATTCTCTCCGGGCGGTTCCTCTTTTTTTTTCTTTTTTTGCCACTTGTGATTGAAGTAATAAAGGTAAGAAAGGTCTCCAGTGTTTTAAGAGCCTCGGTGATTTTAGATGATTCATCTCTTCCACATGTTTGCCTAATGATTGCATGTCTGCACTTGCTCTTTTCCAACACATCATCGCAGTCTGTCTGTGGTTACTGGGTCACGGCTTGGTGTGTTCCCAATCAAAGCTGGTTTTTATTTTATCATCCGAACAAAAGCAGGATGTTTGCATGTCTTCATTTTCTTTGTTTGTTTCTTTTTTTTTTTTTTTGCCAGAATTTTATTTGTAACCTTTCAAAGTGAGAGGATATTATGCAGATTATTAAAGCAAACAGTACTCCGAGCCAGAGTAATAACTAGCGAAGGAAGGGGGGAGGAGAGGGGGTAATAATGGATAAAATGATGTCAGAAGTTTAGCTGCCTTCTGGAATATATTAGCAAACATTCTCGTAAGAAAGAGGCGAGACAGGGGCCACATCACAAACACAGACACTGGATTTTAAATCCTGCAAGCTACAGACAGCTAGTTAGTCTGTTTGCACCTGAAGACTATGAGGTGCCTGGTTAAAACCCCTCTCCACATGGTTTGTTTTATGTGGACTGTTATTTCGGATCTTCCAAAGCAGCACATGTGTAATTATAGCAATGTGTGTCTAAACAAAGACCCATAAGGGGCTCCACTGTCATAGAGCATCAAAGTGAAAAAGGCATTTGTTTGATTGGAGAGCATGTAAAGGCACGCATGCCGCAGAAGCCTCATGGCTCAACGTTAAGCCCGGAGAAAGAGTCGGTTGCGAATCAAAGGGCCAGCTTAGCCCCTGACAGAGCCGTGACCGGGGATGTCTTCCAGCGGTCCGAGCTTTTATCGGAGCTGGGCTCAGCCTATAACCGCAGCGGCTCCTCAGAGTTTGGCAAAGTCTGGCTAGATGGAAATGAGATAAAAACAGAAGAGGTGGGGAGGAAAAAAGAAAAAAAAAAAACAACACCGCGAGGCAGAGGGAGTCTTGGAGAAATGATAGGGAGGAGAAATTATGATGCTTGAGGGGGTAAAAGGCAGGCGAAGGGGAAAAGGGAGGAGAGAAAGGAAAGTAAGTCTGCAGAGCGCCCCACAGCAGCCAGCGCTAAGCCACGTCAGCACGGCAGAACAAGGCAAAAGTGGAACCCCCACTCCCCTCAGCCGCCCACCCATTTCCCTCTCTCCTCTCGCCCTCCCCTGCTTTCACTGCTTTCCCACTGTCCGGACTCCTCCTACAACATGGAATATTAGAGGAGCGGGATCCGATTCATCCGCTGTCGGATTTCTAGGGAAAAGAAATCCATTACCTTCCAATAAAAAAAGACAGCAGGGTTTACAATCAAATGCAGGATTTAAGTTAATTGGACAAATTTACGTGAATTAAACTAATAACAGATTGTTATATAAATGGTGGAGAGATTTTAGAAAGGTTTTGGCCTAAAGTAGATTGAAGTGGCTTGCAAACATTTCTAGCTTAACTGGCCCTGATCAGTGACAGGATTCATACTGACTGACCAGGACATGTTGGCTGTGTTTTAGACATTTGATCACTGAGGTAAGGATCTACTGAGTCTATAAGGAGTTCACACAAAAACTGATGTTTACAGCTAGTACTGCTAACCACACCTACTGTATGGCAGTAATCAAACTAATATAAGATGTTACAACCAGTTTAATATGTCAGCTCTGTAATCGTCTTGTTTTTATTTGATAAAATCCAGTTTAACTGCAGTGCTGTGTAACACCGACTGCTCTCTTTTTGAATGAAATGAGGTGACTCCGCCCTCATTTTTGCTCAATATAAATAATTACTCTTCTCAACAGAGAAGTGCCTTACGACTCTTGTATAGTCAAAATAAATGAAAGAATTGCTAAAAAATCGACAGAACCAAAAACAACAACAAAAAAACAAAGTTAAGTGAGCTATAATCTGTTTTTGTAAAGGAATACAGGTGCTGCAACTAATATTATTATTATTATTATTATTGCCTGTGTGTGCTGTGCTTTGACTGAGACACTCACCTGGGTAAAGCTGTTTGGTGGGGGCACTGAGCTGGGCATCTTTGGATACTTTGTACGCCACATCGGGTCCTTGTGTCGACCTCCGATGTGAGCAGAAACCCGTTGTTTTTGTAACACCCTCAGGTAAATTGTGAAAATCTAAAATCTTCAAGAGGTCTGCTGGTTCCGCTGCGAAGAAGAAAACAGACAGAAGAAAAAGATGTTAAGGGTTTTTTTTACATTGCTTTCTCAGAGCCTTACAGTAGTTTTATGGGGCCTTAAACAGAATTTGGGCAAACTAATACCTCCTTTCGATTAAACATACTCATACTTCTATTACAAGCATATCTTACGACACAAAAAAAGTTTAATCAGAAAACAATTTCATTCTATAACTGCCTGCATAACTATTTCTTATTTTCCACAAAAAGTATTTCAAATGAGTTGGAAGCAAATACAGGGGGTAAGGAAGCTCGCTAGCTGCTCGGTTTGCGTACACTTTGGGCTGACACCAGAGTCAATGCGCTCCAAAAATACCTGCATCTAAACTGAAGTGAAATTATATGTATTTCTTTCACCATTCTTTATTTCCAGTGTCCCGCTGACTCAGGCAAGAGTTGGTTGCTCAGCAGAACAATTCACATTTGGGAAAATTTATGTTTTCCCATTTAGGCACAAAGCAGAGATGTGCCCATTTATAGATTCCTATGATAATGGGTTGAAGCCGCACAGAGAAACCCACGCTTCCAACCATTTCACTTGCAAAGTCCACCGCTTGCCTCTCTCCGACCACAACCGTGCAATTAGCACACTCTCGAGCCGGTCGCCTTGGCTGTGACCGCGCCACCACAGGAGTTTGCTGGGTCAGAACAATGTGACATGGAGATTGACCCTGCACCGCAACCGTCATGTGCCAAAACCGCCCAGGACAAACAGCTGTTCGTGCAGCCAGAAGCAACACGATGACATACACCAGTAGCAAGTTTGTCTTCTTCCTAAGCAGAGATACGTGCAGGTCATCAGGAGGAACTTGGACCAACCTCACAGTTAGGAAACATCTTTAAAAGAAGACAAGTGGAAATTTCTGATAACTTGTGCCACAAATTCAAACTTAAACAGAAACAAAAGCGAAAGAATGTAGCGTTCATATTAACTTTCAAAAGCGCACGCAATCCTGACGTTTTGGGACCAAGATGGATGTTTTTCCACCTTTAACGTTACACTTATCCTGCAAATTTCCACTAAAAATGTTGTTAAAGCGTGACCATCAACATTCCACATCATAATACCTGCAAAAGATCTCCAAATCTATCAATTTAATGTCCTCACACCTTAATCCATTGCTTCGATTGGAAACAAAAGTTGCAACATTTGTTACATTTTCAGTTGATGCAATTCACTTTCACACCGAACTTCATCAAACAAACCAAATCCTTAAAAAAAGACTTTCCCATCTCGCCTGTGGTGGCGCTGCACCAAGAACTACTGAAGGAAACAGCACAAAAACCTCAGAAGAAGACACAAGCATAACATCCTTCTACAAGAAATGTTAACAAAAATGGCAATAGATTAGAGCAGGTATGGAATTTCACTTTCATTTCTCCTACTAGCTCTAGACTCTTCTCTCTTGTTTTGGCCGTATTTACCCAGAATGCCCTGCACTATAGTCTGCTTCCTGCTTTTGGAGTTTGGCAATTTGGTGTTTGATTGCACATTCACACCTCCCTAAACGAATCAAACTTTATAGGCAAACAAACTAGGGTTGGATTAAAGCGGACTAAACAGGGCTGGTGTGAACACACCCTAAGAACATCTTCTGTCCTGTGCCCTCTCCAAATCAAATACATCTTCTGTCAGATTTAGATATGGACTTCGGCTCAACTTTTTTGTAGAAGTTGACAAAAACCCCAGTTCCATCAGAAGAAAAATAAACCCAATGCATGATGTTGCCACTACCATGTTTCACAGTGGACATGGGATTCTTCTTCCCTTTGGAAGTAAATATTTCTGTCCTGTGATGCTACTTCTTACTTTAGGTAGAACAGGAACAGAGCCAGGAGTTTGTGGAAACTGTTGTAGCTCCTTCAGTGTCACTCCAGTCCTCTTAAAAACCTCCATGACTATTTCCCATCCTGTGTTTATGTCCATTTTTGATAAAAAAAAAAAAAAAAAAAAAATCTACGATGTTAGATATGAAATCAAGAATGCTGTAATTATGCCGCAAAGTTCCCACAAAAGCATTAGTTTGGAAACGGGTTTGCAAACGCATGCAGCCATGTTATCGCAGCGTTTTATTTTCTACACTTTCTCAAATGCGACATCCTAGCCGACCATAGCGACAAGGTGAAACTGCAAAAGGCACAAACTGTTCAAAAAGTCAACTTGTAACAGAAACAACCACTTAAAACTAAATAGGCCACTAAAAACGTCAAATGATGAACGAGCACATTTCAGCTGAGCTTCAAAGTCGCCCGGGGAGACCTGTAACAACCTCCAGCTGGATGCAGTTATGAGTGACTAACATGCAGCAGAAATCAATTAAAAAAACATCCTCAAACAGAGGTTTCCATTGAAAAACAGTTAAGCTGCACATGTTTTCCTACAGCTGTGCAGTGGCGTAAATAAACTTCTTTACACACCTCCCGAAGCCTGTTCACATTTTCCACTCTGTCAAACCAAATGAAGAGTTTTATGCACATCTTTACAAAAAAAAAACCCCAGCAAAACTGGAAAATCAAGGAAGTCGTTTTTGCTGGGAACCGAAATGTAGAATGAAAACAATTTGATCTGAACTTAATAAGTATTTTTCTAAATCAGATCCCAACAATGCTTTGGAGGTAATGATAGGCACAAGAACAGGCGTTTGTGATGGCAACTCACCTAACCAAATGAAGCATCCCACCCTCCAATTTAAAAGCTCACCTACCTCTCTGCCTCTGTGCTGCACAAGGTGCCAATAACCGCACTCCTGTCTGGGAATCCGACACAGTGACACCGCTTTTGAGCAGAAGAAGGGTCTAAACAGAGAGACCAATTTATCTGTCAACAGCTCTCAATGAACAGAGGGATAGAAAACCACCCAGCAGCCACAAAATGTCCATCATCCACCATGAAAGGGGTGTCTGATTAAGCGAGGCTAACTCTCAGACCTCCGCAGCGCAGTAATAAAGGCGCATGTTACACTGTTATCTGATGGGAAGCATTCCCTCATCCATCCATCATTATTCGGTTTGTGCACATGAGCAGTGTTTCTGTTTAGAGGCTTATTCACGTGACTCAGTTCCAGACGCATCATGTAGCATTTCTGTGAAGTTCTGAGCATTTGAGGTTCCACAATCCAGCAGGGACAAATGCAGAAAAAACATCACCCGCATAAAGATGCTACATTTCAATAAAGGCTCCACAAGAATGACACAGACACACACAACTGTTAATATAGACATGATGGGTAGTCATCACACAAATCCTGCCAAAATAAACAGGGGTGGGCAACATGGAATTAAAATTTTTATCACAATATTTTGTGGTATTATTGTGTTAAACATGATCATGAAAAAATAAAGAAAGATTTTAAAATTTTTTAGGTAACTATGTTTTGACTGAATGTCAAATACTGATCCTGAAAAACTGAGATAGCCTGCAGGACACCTCTCATGGAAAGACCTGTGATTTCTATCACCAAACTGAGCACAGTAGCTCTATTAGTCATATTTTCAATTTACTGATATTTATAAATGTTCTCATGGAACAAGCGGTGGTAAAAAAAAAGAAAGAAAACTAAATTTATGGGGTTTATAAACATAATAAATTGGAATTTATTGTGTCAACGATAAATCAAATTTCTCATCATAATAAAAAAATATTATTGAAAAAGGATTTGATGCATGCCCACCTCAATGCAACTTTGTCTGGTAATGTGACTATACATAGCTAATAAATTAAACCTTGCTCTCTCTACATTGGAGACTCTTATTTTGAAGTGAGAAGGACACTAGGTCAGCTGAAAACTGACTTATATTTGGCAGTATTTGTGAGAATTATAAGAAGTAAAAGAGGAACAGACAAGAGCCGAACAATCTGTAAACACTGAGAATACTGTGACTGGTTAAATGTTAGCCGTTAATGACGCTAAAGTTAGCGCCTGCATTAGCTTCCTATCAGCGTTGCACTGAATAACTATTTCAAAAACAGGCTGCACTTATGGACCATTTAGGTGAAAAACAAAACAGGGATTGTTTACTTGCTAAAACAGATGGATAAACACTTATAGTTTTCTCTGGACCCGATCTTATAGGGCATAATAAAATTAGTTAAACATGAAACTGTGATATTGTACTAAGATCTTTATCATTGGTGGGCTGAAGGAGAGACTGAAACTCAATCTAACTGGCCAAATATTTAACTTGCATCTGATGCAGAATCACAATTTCTTGCATTCATTTTGTGAGCTAAATGTATTGCATTCCAGTTGGTTCATAGCCAACAGAATAACTTTATATAATATTATGACATTATTGTTGTCAACGATGGACTATGATTTAAGTTTGATTTTTATTAGCTGTGCACAGTTTATAGGAACCAAATGCCTGCAGTTCAAAAATAGGAACACAATAAGAACCAACTAAAACCTTCTCAATAAGACACTTCAAACTCTCCATGAATGTCAGAGCAGTCCGCTTCGATCCAACAGTATCTCTCGGTAACCGGCCAACATCCAGCAGAACCGTATCTCGCTTCAAACAGCTCAACCAATGACTTACAGTTGTACAGAAGCCCCTACAAGGCCTGCACAGAGCTGGCTTACACTTAGCACAGTGACCACAATCGCTCTAAATTATGGAGCTTAAGGGTGGTCAGATTAAAGACAAAACTACAGAACTCCACTCTGAAAGTAAAGTCCATAAAGTCCGTAGCCATAACCATTCGGTCAAAGGCTCCATTTTCATTCTATGCTCACATGTCGTCTCTGTTACCAACACTATCCCATCTCCTTATTTGGATGCAGACTTGAGTTTGGCTGCTTTTTCAGGCCTCTCCACTGAGAGGTTGAAAGCCTCCTCTTCATCTCTAATTTACAAGAGTTTCATGGCCTTCCATGTAAATAAACTACACTGTCATATATCTGGAAAATGCTCTTCTAATGTTACAGTCGTCTGCATTTGAATGGAACCGATCAAACATGAACTAGC